TTGCACTCATGTTAGAAGGTTTTCTCAGTGGACTCTGTCTCCTTTTCCTCCCAAACTCCTGATTCTGTAAGGGTTCCTATGGCTTCAGGTCTTCTCCGTGCCAGATATGGGGGCGAGTGCAATGTACTGAGTTCCCTACTTCTCCGCCATCTTGCCCCCAGTAATTTCCTCTTTTCTTACACTGGAAGCTTAGATTACTGATTTTAGATCTTTTCCAATACATGAATTCAGTACTATAAATTTCCCTCTAAGCACTACTTTAACTACATCTCACAAGTTTTCATAAATTGTTTTCTAATTTTCATTTAATTCAAAATACTAATTTCTCTTGAAATTTCTTCTTTGTTCTATGTGTTATTTGGAAGTGTGTTGTTTAACATCCAGATACTTGAGGATTTTCTAGCTGTTTTTCTGTTACTGATTTCAGGTTTAGTTCTCTTGTGGATTGAGAGCACACATTGCATGATTTTTATTCTTTTTTTCATACACACACATATTTAAATTTATTTATTTATTTTAAGAGAGAGAGAGAAAGGGAGGGGCAAGGAGAGAGGGAGAGAGAAAATCCCAAGCAGGCTCCAAACTGACAGCACAGAGCCCAACATGGGATTCTAACTCATGAGCCATGAGTTCACGGCCTGAGCCAAAATCAAGAGTCAGATGCTTAACTGACTGAACCACCCAGGCCCCTTATTTGCCCCTCATGATTTTTATTATTTTTTAAAATGTTATTTATATATTTTGAGATAGAGTGGAAAAGGGGCAGAGAGAGGGGGAGAGAGAGAATTCCAATCTGGCTCCACACTGTAGTGCAGAGCCTGATATGGGGCTCTAACCCATGAACTATGAGATAATGACCTGAGCTGAAATCAAGAATTAGATGCTTTAATCTACTGAGCCACCCAGGTGCCCCTACGATTTTTATTCTTTTCTTTTAAATTTCTTAAGATGTGTTTTATGGCCCAAATGTGGTCTGTGTTGGGGAATGTTCTGTGTAAGATTGAGAAGAATGCACATTCAGTTGTTTGAGCAAGTAGTCTATACATGTCTGTTATATCCAATTGAGTGATGGTGTTGTTGAATTCAGGTATGTTGTCACTGATTTTTCTGCCTGTCGGATCTGTCCATTTCTGATAGCGAGGTGTTGAAGTCGGCCCTAGTGGATTCATCTGTTTCTTCTTGAAGTTGTCAGTTTTTCCTTTATATGTTTTGAAGCTCTGTTAAATGCACACACAATAAGGATTATTATGTCTTATTGAAGGATTGGCTCCATCATTATGTAATGTTCCTCTCTATCCCTGATAATTTTCATTGCTCTGAAGTTTCTTCTGTCTGAAATTAGTATAGCTACTCTAGCTACTCCAGCTTTCCTTTCCTTTCCTTTCCTTTCCTTTCCTTTCCTTTCCTTTCCTTTCCTTTCCCTCTCTTTTTTTTCTTTAATGTTTTATTTCTTTCTAAGAGAGAGAGCATGAGCAGAGGAGGGTCAGAGAGAGAGGGAGACACAGAATCTGAAGCAGGCTCCAGGCTCTGAGCTAGCTGTTAGCACAGAGCCCAATGCGGGGCTCGAACCCAGGAACTGCGAGATCATGACCTGAGCTGAAGTCAGACCCTTAACCGACTGAGCCACCCAGGTGCCCAACCAGCTTTAATTTAATTAGTGTTAACATGGTATGTATTTGTCTGTCATTTTACTTTAAATCTATCTGTATTTCTATGTTTAAAGTGGGTTTCTTGAAGATATCACATAGTTGGGTATTATTTTTTGATTCACTGATCATTTCTGTCTTATTTATTTAAGTAATTTCTACACGCAATATGGGGCTCAAACTCATGACCCTGAGATCAAGAGGTACTGCTCTTCCAACTAAACCAGACAGATGCCCCTGACCATCTCTGCCTCTTAAATGCTGTATTTAGACCATTAACATTTAAACTGATTATTGATACATTTGGATTAATAACTGCTATAACTTATTTTTATCTATTGCCTTTGGTTTTGTCTTCTCTTTTTCTGCTTTCTCCGGCTTTAATTGAACATTTTATAGACTACATTTTCCCACACTCTTAACATATCATACTTAAAAAACAAAAAAACTTTTTAAATGTTTGCCCTTGAATTCACAGTATGTATCTGCAGCTAATCCAAGTTCACTTCCACATCCACTTTCAAATAATGCTATACCACTTCATGGGTAGTGCAGGTACCTTATAACAGAATATTCCCAGTCTTTCCTCCTTTCCCTTATGACATTCTCATTCATTTCACTTGTACTGAAGCTTCAATTACTGCATACATTGTTGATATTATTATTTTGAACAAACTGTTATGCATGAGATCAGTTAAGAATAAGAAAAATAAAACATTTTACCCCCCATTTATTCCTTCTCTAACATTCTTCTTTGTGTAGATCTGTCTTTCTAACCTGTGTCTGTTTCCTTCTTTCTGAAGATCTTCTTTTAACATTTTTTGGTAGGCAAGAGTGCCCTGTAACAAATATCCTTAATTTTTAAACATTTTAAACTTATTTTTCTTTTTTATATTCCCTTAATTTGTGTTCATCTGATAAAGTCTTTAAGAATTTCTCTTTATATATTTTTTTCTTTCAATACCTTAAATATTTCCTCCACTCTTGAATGGTTTCTGATGAGAAAGGCCAATGTGCTTCTTATTTTTGCTCCTCTGTCAGAAAGGTTTCTCCATCACTGGCTTATTTTATAATTGTCTTTGGTTTTCTGCAGTTTAAATATGATATTCCTAGATACAGATTTTTGTATTTATAAGTTTTAAATATATATTCGGTGTCCTAAAAAAAATTTTTTTTTAAATATTTTTATTTATTTCTAGGAGAGAGAGACAGCGTGGGCAGGGGAGGGTCAGAGAAAGAGGGAGACACAGAATCTGAAATAGGCTCCAGGCTCTGAGCTGGCAGTCAGCACAGAGCCCGACGCGGGGCTCGAACCCATGAACCGTGAGATCATGACCTAAGCGAAAGTCGGACGCTTAACCGACTAAGCCACCCAGGCGCCCCCTAAAAATTTTTTTTAAATGTTTATTATTTTTGAGAGTAAGAGCATGTGAGTGGGGGAGGAGCAGAGAGAGAGGGAGACACAGAATCCGAAGTAGGCTCCAGTCTTTCAGCTGTCAGCACAGATCCAGATGTGGGGCTTGAACCCATGAACCACGAGATCATGACCTGAGCTGAAGCTGTACACTTAACCAACTGAGCCACCCGGGTGTCCCTATATTTGATGTTCTGTGAGCTTCCTGGATCTGCTATTAATTTTGGAAAAGTCTCAAACATTGTTGGATCACATATTTCTTTTGTTCCTTTTTCTCTTCTATTTTCACTGCAGATAGATACACCGTCTGTAATTGTCCCACGGTTCTTAGGTTTTCTGTTCTGTCCTTTTCATTCTTTTTTCTGTTTGCATTTCAGTCTTGAAAGTTGCAGTGTCAGTTCCTCAAGTTCATTGGTTCTTTCCTTGGCTGTGTCTAGTGTATTGATGATCCCATCAAAAGTGTTCTTTATTTCTGTTAAAATTTGTGTTGGTTGCCAGCATATCCTTTTGATTCTTCCTTAGAATGTCTATCTCTCTGCTTAGTTTGATGGGATCCACTTTTTCCACCAGAGCTCTAGCATCTTAATCATAGTTGCTTTAAATTCCTCATCTGATAATTCCAACATCTCTGCCATACCTGAGTCTGGTTCTCTCCTTGCTCTGGCTCTTCAGTGTCTGTGTTTTTTATGTTAATATGCTTTGGAATTTTTTTTTTTTAAAAGCTCTTCTCTTTTTTGTTTTTTGTTTTTTTAATGTTTTATTTATTTCTAGGAGAGAGAGAGAGAGAGACAGCGCGAGCAGGGGAGGGTCAGAGAGAGAGGGAGACACAGAATCTGAAGCAGGCTCCAGGCTCTGAGCTGGCAGTCAGCACAGAGCCCGACGTGGGGCTCGAACCCACGAACCGCGAGATCATGACCTAAGCGAAAGTCGGACGCTTAACCAACTAAGCCACCCCGGCGCCCCTGCTTTGGAATTTTTTAAAAGCCAGCATGCTGTACTAGGTAAAAGGGACCAAGATGAGTATGCCTTAGTGTGAGGTTGTATGCTTACGTGGCTAGGAGTTCGCCTGTGTTTACTGTTTGCTCTAGCAGTGTCATTACTAAAATTTACTCATATCTTTGTTTTTGTCTCCTCTGTTGTCTTTGAGTTTCCCTAGTGATTTCTGAATGTCTTGAGAAGTGCAGCTTTTTAGTTGTACGCCCATTATTGTACGCGAGCCCTGTGGATATTATTAGAAGTGATCTCTAGTTCTGTGATTAGGTCTCAGTCTTTTCGTAACCCTGTACCACTGACCTGTGCCTTCACAAGCGCTATTTGATTTTGGGTTTTGCCCATTCTCTTAAGTGAAACAAGAAGGTGGGGGATGGGGTGCTGGGGTTGAGGATAGGTTCCTGTGAAGTCTCCTCTAGGCTCTGGTAAAACTGTTTCCCTTGGGGCAGGCCTTGTTAAGAACAATGCTCTGGGGGCATCTCAGAATGGCTACTTTCCCCTCCCCCTACTTGAAGCGTGAGGAGTTTTGTTCTCAGACCTTCACTGTGAGAAGCTTGGCAGGGCTTCTGGAGGTAAAACTCAGAAGTGTGAGGGGCGCCTGGGTGGCGTAGTCAGTTAAGTGTCCGACTTTCGCTTAGGTCATGATCTTGTGGTTAATGAGTTCGAGCCCCGCGTCGGGCTCTGTGCTGACTGCCAGCTCGGAGCCTGGAGCCTGCTTCAGTCTGTGACTCCCTCTCTCTCTGACCCTCCCCTGCTCGCGCTGTCTCTCTCTCTCTCTCTCCTAGAAATAAATAAAACATAAAAAAAACCCAGAAGTGTGAGGGTCCCCCTAAGAATGGGCCCTTCGATTATTCTAGGTGCTTGGGCAGTGTTGTATCCTGTGACTTCAGTTCTTTAATGGATCTAAAAAGTATTGTTCTTCAGTTTGTTTAACTTTTTTCTTATTGTAGGGATGGTGGTGACAGCCTTCAAGCTCCTTACATGCCAGACTGGAAAGTGAAATTTCCTTGCCTTCATTTTTAAAAGGTAGTTTTTATAGATAAAAAGAATTCCAGTTGACCTTTTCCCTTCTTTTCTTTCAGTGTTTAAAAGATGTCATTCCGTTATCCTGACTTACAGCAGGAGTTGCTTGTCATTCCTATCTTTATCTACACATATTGTGCTTTTTTAAATGTTTATGAGCAGTTTACTCAGTTCACTATAGTGAGCAAGTTCCCAGTGGGGTGCACAGATACGAGCAAGGTAGCCTTAGGTTGATGCAGGAGCCAGCGCGGTACATGGGACTGGCTGGGCATCAGGCAAGGAGGGGGCACCAAGGTCAGAGTCAGACCAGCCGGGAGACCCTGAGCTGACCCTGAGCTGAGGGCAGGTTAATGCCCTGACGCTGTGCAGGGCATGTCGGTGATGTCAGGGGGACAGGTGCTACAGAAACAGGGCCCATGTCAACTGTTGTTGCTTTGTAAGTCATGTGCTAGCATGTGAACGGGAATTCTAGAATCCTCCAGTAACAGTGGGCCAGAGTGGTAATACCTCCGTATTTCTCCCTCAGTGCCTCCTTGCCTCTTGTCATTCCTGTCCTTAAGCTACATACCCTGATGATGAAAGTCTCACATACACAGGTCTCTCAGATGACAAAGCTATTTCCAAAGCAGCATCTTACGCAGTCTGTGATATTGAAGAAAGTATCTCTGGTTCACTGTCTTCTGTGAAAAGAGTCATCCACCCCTGACCAATGCCTAACTGAAAACATAATTTAGAAGACAGATATAGGAAGTGGAATATGGATAAAAATAGGAAACAAACTTCAAAAAAGCTGTTGTTTATGGGGACTGGGCCACTTGATGACCAGTTCACAGATGGTCTCACCGGAAGGCTACAAAATGTTGCTCATGTAATTATTAGAAACCTCCTGGAATCCACAGCCTGCAATCTGCAAACTACTGGGTAAAACTCAGTCTCTCCATATGAGATGGTCAGAGTCAAGCTTAAGCCGTCTCTAACTCCTGGAAGAAATGCTGCACCACATACAGAATCTCAAAGGCAAGAAAGGCCTGTTAGGATGTAGAAGGTTCACATATGATACGATAATTTTAATTCTGAAGGGACCCTGAGTTCCATTTGTCACTTTTTAAAGTTTATCTGTTGAGAAGAGACTTAAGGACAGTATACTGGCATTTAACTTTTTGGCAAAATAGAAACTTTTTTTTTTTTCTAACCATAGTTCCAGAAAAATGTTTTAAAGAGGCTATTATTTCGGATTCAAGTAATATTTTTAGCAAGTGACACAAAACAGTAACAAAAATGTAAACATCTTCATATCTGATGTAAGAGTAAAACCTCTTTAAAAATATCTTGTTTTAAAGTGTATTGCAGGAGGGGCACCTGAGTGGCTTAGTCAGTTAAACGTTTGACTCCTGATTTCTGCTTGGGTCATGATCTGGCAGTTTGTGTGTTCAAGCCCTGTGTCGGGCTCTGTGCTGACCATGAGGAGCCTGCTTGATTCTTTTTCCCTTTTTCCCTCCCTCTTCCCTGTGCGCTCTCTCTCTCTCTCTCTCTCTCTCTCTCCAAATAAGCACTTAAAAATACATATAGTGCCTGAATCAGTGCTTATAAATAGTAGAGAGCTCTCTTACAGGGAATCAGAAAAATAGCAGAATAAGTCACAATAATCCTGTTACTGTTACAGATTTGTGTTAGGCAGTAGTGTTCTTTTTGGAAGGCACAAATTGGAAATCTGATTACCTAGAGGTTTCAAATGTGGTTCTGAAGATGTCATGTGACGGGGAGAGCTAACTGGGAACAAATTTCCTCAACTGGAATTAATGGCAGTTAATCAGACAACATGACTTCTAGGTTACAATACTCTGGAACTTAAGAAGTCCCCCTTCCTCAGCCACACGGCAGTCAGTGAAGGCGTGGGGCTGAGTATGGGCCCCACGGCTGCACTTCAGGTTTGGAGTGCTTATGACAACAAAGACATGGTTCCTAGAAATCAAACTTTATGGTAACAGAAAGTAATCACTTTAGATAGAACAGTAGGTGAGCTCGAGAGTGCAGCAGGTTCTAAGTCAGACATCTTGAAGAGGTTTCTGGAACAGCAGGGTGGAGTTTCACCGGTCCTTCTTGGGGGAAACATTCCATACGATGATGACAGCGATGGTGATGATGGTGGCCACCACAGGGACAGTCCCTGTCGCCCACATCTTGAAATTCTTCCACCAATATCTTCTCTTCAGCTCAGTGGTGTTAGTTTCAAATCGGGACGCTCCTGACTACAGTGAGTCTGCACCATCCTCTGGCCCCGAGAGTTTCTGATCTCTTTCCAGCCCCTTATCCACGTCAACTCTCATGATGTCCACCACGTCATCTGTCTGGTTGTGTGTCCGCCCAGGTCTCCGGTTACGATCAGAGGTGGGACTTGACCCTGCAGGTGTAGACATTTGGTGTTGGCAGTGATGGCCTGCAACCCCGGCAGCGGGACCGAGGCCCGGTCCACACCTAATGTGCTTTTTAAAAGCCTGGCTTCTTTAAGGGTTTTTTTCTTTAACACTGGTTTTTACCAACTTGATTATGATGTGTCTTGGTGGTGGTCTCTTAAAGTGTATCCCCCCTTGGGTTTTATTGAGGTTCTTGGGTCTGTGAGTTTATAGTCTTGATCATATTTAGGACATTTTGCTTTTTTCTTTAGATACTCTTGTTTCTCCTTTTGCTCTTTTTCTGAGTAGTGTCAGGTGGGTCCACAGCTGCCTTTGGGCTTGAGGTAATTTAGCGTCATTATTAGGGGTACTGCCCTTCTGAGGATTCCATCCAGCGCCCTGTGGATTAGGAGGCCTTTCTACCATGGCTTGTGGAAACATCAGGCAGTCTCATCTCTGTGTGAGCCCCGGGGGTCGTTCCATCGACTCTTTTCTGGGGGGCCTCGCCGTGGCCTCTGGGCAGAGTTTGGCTCCCACAGGTGCAGGTTTGTTCTCTGCTGAAGACTCAAGAGGACCCTCCTCATATCCTGGAGTACCTCTCCTTTCCACCGCTTGCCCTGCACACCCTTGCTGTGTCCTTGACCTCCCAGTTCTGTCTGTTCCACTGAGGGAGACGCCTGGCTGCATCTGAGCCTCCCCTCCCTGCATCGGAGCCTGGAAACCACATTGGCTGTGGCTGGTGCAGTCACAGGGCTCAGGCTGGTGGTCTCCCTTCTCACTGGGAAACCATCACGTCCTCTCTTGTCCATTTTTCCTGCTGTTTAGGGGTCCCTGTTACTCTGTCTTGAATGAACATATAACCAAACAAATGCAAGAGCCTGTCAGGAGCTTAATGAGGTTCAGAGCAGGTGGGGCCTTGCAGCTAAGCGGATTGATTGTTAACACTCCCTTTTTTCCTTTGTTAATCGGTCACACTGTGAATGAGAACAGGAAGATGGTGCAGACTGGAAGACAGCGATGTGGCAGCCTGGGGTTGGCCCCACACCAAGCTCAGGTTTACCAGCCTCTCTGCTTGTGCCTTTGCTGGGATGAGGTGCCTGCGAGGATCCACGCCTCCTCACAGGAGCTTGAGTGGAGAAGGGAGCTGATCACCTATGAACTCGCACCGGCAGGGTCCTCGCGCTGCTTCTGTGGCCTGAGCCAGACCGAACAGGCCACCTACCTCTGGGCATTCTGGCCTTGGTCTGGACTCCCCCCTGGCCTCTTGGGGCCACCTTTACTGCCTGAGGTGCTGGCCACAGCCACAGCTGGGCGGAGATGGCCTTTGGGGGTGTGCCATCCTGGTACACTTGCACTAGGAGGCGGGGCACTGATCACCGACCGTCAGCTGCACTTCCGTGCGGGCAGCAAGAGGGGGAGTCTGCAAGGCCAGCCTCGCAAGGTGAGTGGACATGTTTTCTGAACTGGTGTCGATGTGGGGTGACAACCAGCGCTGCTCCCCAGAGCACAGAGCCTGTGTTTCCTGAGTGGGTAGAGGTCTCTGTTCTTCACCTAGAGGCGCCTTCCTGGTCCCACAGCCAGGACTCTCCTAGCCTCAGGCCCTTCTCTGGGGTGGTACCAGGACCTCTCGGGGGAGAGTGGTGGCGGGGCCCTGGTTCCAGGATGGGGAGGTCCCCTGGGGACCCCACGGCTGATGGGGTCTGGGTCAGGATGAGTGCATCATCCTTTACTCGTGGCAGGTCTGATGAGGCATCTGTCCTGGAGGCCAGCTAAGGGCAAGGGCTGAGGCGCTAACGGGAGGGTGGTTTAGCGGGAGCCTTTCTCACATGACTAAGCCCCATGGGCTCTTATTGCATGCGTCTTTACCCCTGAGGGAAGAGTTCAGGTATGGGAACATTCCAGATTGAAGCTTCCTGCTGGTGGGAAACACTAAAGGGGCCGTGGTCTCCTCCACACTGGCAGAGCCACATTGCCTTAATGTCCTACAGTGTAAGGTCCAGAGATGTTCAGAGAATGGAAGGTAGACAGAGGCTGAGGACTAGTGGACATAGAGGTAGGGAAGACATTGGGTCAGCCCTCTCGCCCATACAGGAAGGATTGGGCAGAGTTAGAAAAGACACGCTGTCACTTCAGACTCCTACCTGAGGGTCCGTGGTGAGCACTGCACTGTGTTGTGGTGCTCCCCGGTTCTTGGGAGGGTCCTGCTGAGCTCAGGCATGGGTGGCCCCTCCTCTCCACAGAGATAGGCCCACAACCAGCTCCTCTCTGGTCTGCTGTCTGAAAGTCCTGAGCCTTCGCCTGGGACTTCTGTGATGGTATGGATTGGTTCTGGCTGTGCTTTAACCAAGTATTTCTCTGATGGCACCTGAGCCCACAGGAGCCTCCCTGCCCTCCCATTAGGAGCTGTAACTTTGGTGCCCCCTTATTGCCCTTGCTTAAATGTCTCCATCCCACAAGGATTTGGGTGGGATGTGCAGGCCAAGGACCCCAGTCTGGTGGCAGAAGCATGTCCCTTCTCTCATGCATCAGCCAGGCCCCTTTGAGATGCTCACACTCAGATGGGGACAACCGGAGCAGCTGGTGGGAGCATCTAACACCATTGTTCTGTCAAGAAGGCCCCTCTGTCGTTCATCCTTATATTCAGCAAGTACTTGGTAAGCACCTGCTGCAGGTTTACCTGTTCCTGCTGCATAAGCGCCAGCTCTCAGGGGACCACATCCCATGAGACAGATGGCACACTGTGCATTAGAGGTGATTGGTGGTAAGACAAAAACAGGCAGCATGTTGACTTAAATTGGAGGAACCATGCAAAGGCCCTGAGGCAGGAGCCCATTTGGGAAAGTTGAAACTGTCAACATGTGACAAACTATGTTAGTAAATAAGCCCCACGGCCAGCCCTAAGCAGGAAGCACAGCGGCTACTTGTACTTCTTATCAGAAACCAGGATTGCCCATCCAGCCAAGAGGACAGAGTCCCCAGAGAGGAAGCAGGTCTGGAGTTGGCAGTCTTCAGGCCTCAAGGCTCCTTCTCCAAGAGTGAGATGATAGCCCTCAGCTGAGAATACACACTCCTGTTCTCGGAGAAGCTACAGAATGAGCTTCTAGAATGTAGAATTGCCATATCCCGCTGCCATCTTCATTGTAGAACTGAGCTGGTAAGGACAAATATCATAGGGTTCAGACAAGGATACAGAGGTTTCAGCGCCAGGGACTCTTCGTCGGGGAGAGGGAAATTCCCTCTCTGTTTTTGTCTCTCATTGGTTGGCATACCTCTGCACGGGGACATGTATAGCTCAGAGATGTCCATATAGCCTGGGCTGGCCAGACCAGCTTGCCTAGTCATCAGCCCACATCCTGTCCTCACACTGCTGTCCGTTCTGATGACTTGCTCCAGGTAACGAAAAAAGACTGCTTCTGGCCATGGAGTAGTTCACAGCTGACCATTGTCTACTAAGGACTCAGGAACTGGTTATAATTCTGAAAGGAGCTGCTTCAGGAGCTGAAGAGCTGCCTTGGCAGCCATGACTCAGAGGAGCTCGGGGAGGTGAGCCTACTTCTTGCACTGGAATTTTCTCCTTGGGGCTGGGCAGGGAAAGCTGCCAAGAGAAGCCCCAAGAGCCCCGCCCCACACACTCTCATGGGGCTGGGGAGACTGACATGGAGGTCTGGTCCAGCTAAGGCAGAAGAGCCCTAAGAGGAAGGAGGTCAGAGATACGAAGTTGATTCTCAGCAGTGGTTCCCTATTGAGGCTGAAAAGCAGAGCAGGATTGGAGGCAGTTTTGTGGTGTTTGGGAAGAGTTCAGAGCCTGTGAAGGAGAAATGACCTGAGAAGCACCAGGCTCTTTGCTGGGACCCTTTGGGGCAGCACCCTGGGTGTGGGGCAAATCCACAGGCAGATTGGACTTTACAAGGACTGCAGATGGGCTAAGCATCACCTGATTCCTTGACTATCCTATGGTGGCTTGACCCTCTCATTCTGTCATACACTGTGCCTGATGCTGAGTCTGGTTACCATGTACACTGAAAAACAGGACCATTGGGTGGGGTGATAGACCCACCAGAGATTAAGATACTAGAGTTTAAAATTAACATATTAAAGAAAATAGATAAGATGCATAGTATCACAGAGAATGAGAATTCATAAAAAAAGTAAATGAAAAATCGAAAACGGGAAAGTATGATAAAAGAAATTTAAAATTCAGTAAGTGGTTTTAACAGATTAGAGACAGCTGAAGAAACAATCAGTGAGTTGGAAGATAGATCAACAGAAAATAGCTCTGCAGACATCACCATGGCCAGCTCACACTGTCTGGTGAGCTTCCTTCCTGGGTCTTCAGGGCCCTGCTGGTCTCTTTTGTAGACCCCCAGCCTTGGGTGGGGTGGGGGGTCCTGCTGAAGAAGATTCTTGGTGCTTGGAAAGACTGAGGGGTCTTTGGAATTTGGGGAACATGTTTTTATGCTGCTTTGTTGGAAATACTGCTAGCATGTTAGGAGTCCATCAAGAGAGCTGTGAGGCTAATGAAATCTTTAGGGGCCTCAGATTCATCATCAAGAACATGAGCATGTATTTAATGGCCTTGAGTTAAAGGTATGCTAACGTCTCCAACATGCACCTTAGAAAACTGCCTTTTATTAAAGTCATATTTTTGTTTGCTTCTCTCCTGAATGTGGAGTGCAGAAAATCATTGAGGACTGGGGAGAGGGGGTGGCTGGGGAAACTGAGCCTAGTCTGATCTGCAAGGGGGGGCACGTGTACACTGTTCAGGCCAGACATCACAGAACTTGGGTGCCGCCTGTTCTGGTGATGTGATGGACACGGCATGGGCACAGCAGGGGTGAGGATGACGGGGCTGGGGCCACTGCTGAGCGTGACTGATGCTGTTTTGGATTGTGGCAGTTTAGATGTTTGTTGTTCTGAGTTTTCTACCCTAGGTTAATGGTTTCTTTGTAATGAACAGAAATAAATTCATGAGGGATGGTGAGGTAAGGCAGGGTCATGAGCCAAGGCCAGCATGCTGAGCTGGGACATGCTGCTGATCTACGTAGGTTGTTTGACATGGATTAAAGCAATGTCATGGCAAAGATATCAGCCCTTTATCTGAAGGAAGGGATGGAAGCCCCTTGTCTTCTAAAACGTTTGCCTTGTGGGGAAGTGAACACGCTTCCCAAGGGGAGAGAAGGGGTATAGGTTGAGTCTAGCTAAGGGGAGGTACACCTGCAGGGCCTTCATAGCTGTGGCTCCTGGAAGCTCCTGGTCAGCTCAGACCAAGTACCCAGAGGCCATTTAGATGCCCCTCCGTGTATCCTGTGCTTTAAGACAGAAGGGCACGTTGGGTTCTTTGTGGAGGATACATGAGGGATGGACATTCTCTTACTCAGCTGGGAGGGTGCTGAGGGAAGTGGGGAGTACCTAGCCCCACTGTGTGAAGCATTTGTCAGCGGAGTCCCTTTTGTGTTCCCAGGCATTGGTTTAGGCGCAGGACAGTTTCATGGACAGGTTCGATGAGACATCTGCTCTTATTTGGGTCTGGGGTTTGTGTTCCAGACTAGAGGCTGGCCTTAAACAAGTATAAACAAGAGCAAACATGTTAAAAACAAAGAAAACCAGCGATAACAAGAAGTCATGAAAAACAGTCAAAAAAATGTCATGAAAGAGGATAATGGGACTGCATTGGTGGTTAAGGATTTCTGGGGAGAAGATGGCCTCCCTCACGAGGTGATGTTTGAGCTGAAGCCAGAACGATAAGGTGGCCCAGCTCTACAGGCAGAGCAGAGGCCCTGGGCTAGAATCGTACAAGTCTTGGTAGGCGTCCGCTTTCACCTTAAGGACAATGAGAAACTGATGACAGATTTCAAGTGGAGGAATAACACGATCTAACAACACATTCACAGGATGCGCCGGGCACTGTGTGGACACACAGTCATGGGTTGGATTTCTGGAAGCAGAGATACCACTGGCAGGCTTTGCATGTGTTTGGGGAGCCTGGCCTGGTGGCTGCAGAATCACAGGGGAGTGCACACTCGGACTGCATTTGGGGAGAGGCTGAGGGAAAGCTGGGACCCAGAATCTACATGGAGGCAGGGCCAGGGGTCAGGGGCGTCCAGGGACACAGTCTGCAGTCTGCTTCCACCGTAGGAAATTTGCAAGGCCCACGGGGTGTCAGTGGAGATGTCCCGGCCACAGCCAGGATATGAGACAAAGCCCCATCTCAGAGGAGAGAGTCAGGCATGTCTCTCAACAGGTGGAAAACTGCCATTCCTCTGGAGGCCTTGATAAGTGATCATCATCTGCCAGCCCACAATTTCTGATAGTTTGAAATCCTCCTTCCTGGGGCACCTGGGTGGCTCAGTCAGTTAAGTGTCCACACCTTGATTTTGGCTCAGGTCGTGAGTTTAAGCCCTGTGTCAGGCTCTGTGCTGACAGTGTGGAGCCTGCTTGGGATTCGCTTTCTCTCTGTCCCTCCCCTACTTGTGCGCGCTCTGTCTCTCTCGCTCGCTCACTCTCTCAAAAATAAACAGACATTTAAAAAAATTTATTGCTGGGGTTGCCTGGTCGGTTCAGTTGGCTAAGTGTTCTACTCATGATCGTGGCTCAGGTTTTTGTCTCAGGGTCATTGAATTCAAGCCCTGCATTGGGCTCTGCCCTAGGTGTGAAGCCTACCACAAAAATTACTTTATAGCTAAGAAATGGTAACTATCATCTGAGCTTTCATTGAGACAGACTCTTTGTGCTGGTAGAGGGTCTTCCCTTCTTGCTGCATTCATGGACTCTTCCTTTCATGAACAATTTCTCTGTAGCATGTGATGCAGTTTGATAGCATTTGATCCACAGTAGAAATTCTTCCAAATTGGAATTAATCTCCTCAAACCCTAAAAATATTTAGAAAATATTCTAAATATTTTGTTGTTGTTCAGACAGTCATCAAATCTTCGCCAGGAGTAGATTCTATCTCCATAAACCATGTTCTTTGCTCTTCAGAAGAAGTAACTCCTTGGGGCACCTGGGTGGCTCAGTTAAATGTCTGACTTCGGCTCAAGCGATGATTTCATGGTTTGTGGGTTTGAGCCCCTCATTGGGCTCTGTGTTGACAGCTCAGAGCCTGGCGCCTTTTTGGATTCTGTGTCTCCCTCTCTCTGCCCCTCCTCTGCTTTCACTCTGTCTCTCTCAAAAATACATAATAAACATAAAAAGAAAGCAACTCCTCATTGATACAGTGGGCTTATCAGGATGTAACCTTTATTATAAAGTGAGGAAGATCTGTACAGATAAATCCGAAGAAAAATATGTTTTTGTTAAGTCACTGAAATTTCTTACGAATGCAGTGTGTGAACCTATTAGGCACGTTTTAAATCTTGGAATCAGATTGGATGCTGCCATCCTTAGTGCCCATTCCACAATGCTTCTCATGCAGTAATTACATTTTCAGTAGCTGCCAGAAATGTAGCTTTGCAGAGTCCTGAAGCCACGGAAAGGAATGTAGCAAGATTAAATGCGGAAACCGTGAGCTACCGAACCGCTGTGTCCAGCCATGTTGAAGATCACTGTTCCCCTCAGGAGTTAAAAGTATCCTACGCTGCCCTACAAGTTCACTGTGGGGCCAGAGGTGCCTCAGTGCACAGTTTGGGAACTGCCACTATGTGTCTTTTTCCCTCTGGATCTGGGGACCTCCTCTTCCCCAGGCTACATGTTGGGGGCAGTCACCACGGCTTCTAGGAATGGGTCACAGGAGCTTGCGACATTTACTGTCACATGAAGCCCAACAGCCTGCACAGAGGTGTGTGTTCCCAGCCTTGGTGCTTAGAGGATTTTTTCTTTATCATTTGATTTCAGCCACATCAGAGGATCAGGATCTGGCTTTGATTTCAATAAACCATTGTGATGTGCTATTTATTTCCCCTTCCTGTATCTGGAGAAGGTTCAGTTTAACCAAAGAGAGTGGCATTCTTTCAGCGTTGATATAAAAATAGTTCAACCTGATCAGAGAAGGTGGGTTGCTGTCGGCACTCATTGCCCTGCTGACAAGACTGAAAAATGCCAGAATCACTGAACAACCACCTGCCTTTCCCTGACACCCATTCTGAGTCTCCATTGTGGGGCTGGCTGGGCATGGGAGGACTGGACGCCTCACCATTAGTATTGAGCTTGGCCATTGCCGAGGTCAAGAGAACGTGGACAGAAGTGGCAGCATGCAAATTCTGAACCTGGGCCTCTGGAGGCCTTGTGTCTTTCTCTTTGCTCCTCTGGAAGTTTCCGCCTTCTCTTAGAAGAGCTTGCTTTGGGTAGCTGCAGGCCTATGAACATGAGGGAAAAAGTGCTTATCTTGTATACTGCGTTTTGGGGTTGCTTGTTACACAATAAGAGCTGACTGATACAAATGGAAAAAAAGTCCATGAGAAGGTGAAAAGAATGACAACAGTAGAGTATTTGGCAGGGTTGCTGTTCTCAGGAGATGAACTTTTAAGGAGATGTGAAGTCTTCTATGGAATGATGTTATCTATTGGTACTTAAACCTAAGAGGAAGGCAGCGACAGTTTTATTCCTATTTTAGAGATGAAGACAGGCTCAAAATGGCTGAAGACACAGTGGGTGAGCCTCGTGAGGGCCCCAGATGGCCGACTCCTGGTCCCGGCCCCCACTCGGGCTGTGTTGCTTCTCCTGCAGGCCCAGCTCTGCGGGCAGCCGTGCGCAGTGCTCTTTGTAAGAGCCACAGTGGGACCTGGGCGGGCAGGACTGACCACGGCTGGGAGCTCTGTGGGGCACGAGGGACAGCGTTTTGCCGGGAGGTGTGACTGGTGCCTGTGTCACTTATGCCGAGAAACGGAGGAACCAGGCACTGGCGGTGTGAGCCACACCTGTGCTGCCTTTGGTCGGCGTCCTGCATTTGGCCTAAAGTGGGGATGGTGACCTCCCTCTGCGTTTGCCCCCAAGCTTCCCTCGAAAGGCCAGGTGGGGGGTGTCAGGAAGGAAGCGCATGCATGGAGGCACGGGGTCCGGGTCCTGCACCGGATACACCCTTGGTCTCGCCTGCTGGTAGGGATGTGGATTTTGATGCTTAAAAACTCAGAGATTGAGAACAGAAGGAGCACTCGGACCTTTGTAAAGGCTGTCGGGCCTCCTGGCAGCCTGGGGGCCAGGCCACCTGATTCCACCACACGAGGGACCCACGGACTGACTGGTGCAGTGCCAGCCGTCTGTCCGCATGTTTTCATTACCTCGGGCTCCTGGTCTTGTTGCTTTACCTTCTGATCGGTTTTTTTTGTCCCCTTTGTGACCTCCTGTTCCCTGACGAGCTGGTCTGCACTTTCCTGCCAGCTGCCTGGAGCCACGCCTGTTCCCTGTCCTCCACCTCCCCCAGCCCTGCACCGTCTTCACTGAGAGAACCTTCAGTCCCAGGAGGAGACCTGCCCTTCCACTCACAGGGCTGTCCTTGGAGACACCCCTCCCCCCCCCAGATGGGGTGAACACTGGCTCCCAGATCTCCACGTCCTAATCCCTGGACCTGTGAATGTGCACTCTGGTCAAAACTGACTCTGATCTTATTTATTTTTTTAGTGTTTTATTTATTTCTGAGAGAGACAGACAGACAGTGTGAGCAGGGGAGGGTCGGAGAGAGAGGGAGACACAGAATCTGAAACAGGCTCCAGGCTCTGAGCTGTCAGCACACAGCCCATACGGGGCTCAAACCCATGAACCGTGAGGTCATGACCTGAGCTGAAGTCAGACACTCAACCGACTGAGCCACCCAGGCCTCCCCAGCTCACTCTGATCTTGAGATGGGGAGAAGATCCTGATTCTCCGGGAGGACCCTGAATTCCATCCCATCTCGAATGAGGGGCAGAGAGAACGGACTCGGGAGAGAGAGCAGCAGCAGGACAGGGGCAGAGACGGGGTACAGCCACGGCCTCAGCAGGCCTGGGATGCAGGGCTGGGATGCAGGGGACCTTCCCCTCACGGCTCTCCCCCCTCGCAGCCCCTGTGACATCTTGGATTTCTGTCTCTGGCCTCTACGACTATTAGAGAATAAACTTCTGTCCACCTAAGCCACTAGCTTTCGGGTGATGCCGCCAGCTTTTTGGTGACTTGTTTCAGGAGTCACAGACCATGAGTAAATTAAGGGAGAATTAAGGATTCCAAAAAAAAATGGGATGAGGCCGGGCCCAGAGCCTGAGCTGCTTGACCGTGTCCCTGTCACCCGGGGTCACCTACACCTGGAACACACACCTCTTTACCCTTCGGGTCCCTGCTGCCTTGCTGGCAACTGAGGTGGTCCCGTGTGCTCCCTGAAGAGCCTGACCTGTGGCCCGTTTGCCTGCCTCTCACACTGGTCACTAAGTAGGGAGCAGTGGTCGTGGTGCTGAGGGACTCGGCCGTAGAGGGGATGGCTGGCTTCCACCTGTAGCTCCAAGGTCGTCTCCACACCGGAGCACAGCCGGGCCGCCCTCCAGCGCACACCTGCTTCCTCTCCATCCCTGGGAGAGCAGCATGTGTGAAGGACGAGGGCACCTTTGGCCCTTTCGTTAGACTTTAAAACCAAGTGCAAATATTATCAGGTGCTCCTGATACAACCCGTGTCTGTTGAAATAAATACATGGCAGCCATCCGTGACAGGCAGCACCATTGTTCTGTGTCCCCTAGGCGATGCCCTGGGAAAGGTCAAGGCTGCCTAAACCTTTAAAACCCTCGGAGGGACGACGAGCATTCTCAGTGCTGGGGTTCAGAGGTGCGACTCTGCATGGGCCTTTCAGCTGTTTTTTGATCCACTTCCCTTTGTAAATGGTTTATTTTTTTCCTTAAAGCAGCAACAGGAGAAACTTGATACTGATCAGAGGATCCCTCATTCTTGTCAGGATTCCTGTGTCCTTGTAGAAGTTGATCTTCAGGTAAGTACTGCCCCGAGGGCAGCGTGACATGTGGCCTGTGGAAGGTGGATGCCAGGCCCAGAGGCCCCTCAGGGTCCCTCTGTGTGACTGACCAGTCCTGTCTGCGTGGGTGCCCTGAGCAGGGAGAGCAGTGAGCCAGTGTCCCACAGAGGGCCAGAGGCCGCCTCGGGCTGGCACCTCATACAAGCACTTGTCTTCTGGTGGGTGGAAACCCTGGGCTCCATCACATAGGTGTCTGGCCTCCAGATACTGAGAAGGTTCTGAGAGTCATCCTGGCCTGCTCAGCACCGCCCACAAAGACAGGATTTACTCAGCCTAGGGTGCCACCAGCCCCATGCAGCTGGATCCAGAGGGAGGATGGATCTCTGTCTGTCTCTGCCCTCCCCAAACTTTCATGCAAACACGCCTCCCCTCCAGGATGAGGGCTGCCAGGCTGATGGTGGCACTGTTTGCCCTGGCTGGCCTACTGCACGTGGCCCTGTCACTGAGAATTGCAGCCTTCAACATCCGCACTTTTGGGGAAACCAAGATGTCCAATGCCACTCTTTCCAACTACGTTGTACAGGTAGGTCTAGGCCGGCCTGTCTCTGAGGAATCCCAGGGGTGGATGTGGGGTAACAGGCCCTGGGAACACTGGGCCAGCAGGCAGTCCTAAGGATGGCCACAGATTGGGGAGCTGAGAGCCTCTGGTGACAGGAGGGCCCCCATCTGGCAGCAGAGTCCCAGGCAAAGGTGTCAGACCAAACCATGACACAAAAGTGCCCCAGGGAGCAGTGGCTCTGGCCCCATGGGGACCAGGAGCAAGCAGGGCCCGGACACCCCCATGGCAGCCCAACCTGCCCTTCTGAGCACCCCGTGGCCCTGTCTGCAGATCCTGAATCGCTATGACATCGCTGTGATCCAGGAAGTCAGAGACAGCCACCTGACAGCTGTGGGAAGGCTGTTGGACGTACTCAATCAGTGGGTGATGGTGATGGGGTCCTGGGGAGGCACGGAGCCCTACTGTAGGCAGCAGAAGGGCTCCCTGACTGTGACATGTGTCTCCTCAATCCAGGGATGACCCAAATGCCTTCCACTTTGTGGTCAGCGAGCCGCTGGGACGCAACAGCTACAAGGAACGCTACCTCTTCGTGTTCAGGTAAAGCCCTAGTGCCGAGACGTGGGCTCCTCCCAGAGGGTGCAGGTGGAAGCCCAAGGGTGCTCTAGAGGTCCGTGGGCCCCTCTGCTCCTCCCACCGTAGGTAGCAGTCTTCCTACGGGGGAGGAACTGGGGGCCCCAGCACGGGTTGCATCCCTGGGGCCCCCCTTAGCATGTAGAGAGGCAGGCGGGGTGCAGGCGGGAGATCTGAGCCCCAGTGTGTTTGCAGAGGTGTGGTGGTACCCCCAATCTTGGGCTAATGGCCTGGACTTCCCCAGACCTGACCAGGTGTCCGTGCTGGACACCTACCAGTATGACGACGGCTGTGAGCCCTGCGGGAACGACACCTTCAGCCGAGAGCCCAGCATCGTCAGGTTCTTCTCCCCACTCACTGGTGCGCAGCCCTTCCCAGGGCCCCCGGCAGGCTCTGGTCCTGTGGCCCCTAGTGCTTTGTTTGGTCTTAAGTTGAAGTAACTCAGGAACATCCATCCCCTTGCGTCGGATTCCTGCTCCCGCCCCCAGGCCCTGGAGTTTAGCACAACCCCATCTCCACAGAGGTCAGAGAGTTTGCCATTGTTCCCCTGCACGCGGCCCCACTGGACGCTGTGGCTGAGATGGACGCTCTCTATGACGTGTACCTGGACGTGCGGCGGAAGTGGGACCTGGAGGTGAGCCCCCAGCCTGGGCGCGGAGGCACCGGTTGTGCACCCAGGCCCACCAGCTGGTGTTTCCTTGTAGGATGTCCTGCTGATGGGTGACTTCAACGCTGGCTGTAGCTACGTGGCCCCCTCCCAGTGGTCATCCATCCGCCTGCGCACAAGCCCTGCCTTCCAGTGGCTGATCCCCGACACCGCAGACACCACTGCCACCTCTACACACTGTGCCTACGACAGGTAGGCAGGGATGAGGTTGCCTTCACTGGCAGCCTGGACTCCTACGTCCAGGTTCCCAAGACCTGGGTCAGGCCACATCCTGAACCGCCGTGTGAGGCCCTAGTGCCCAGGGTGGCGGAGGTGCTCCCAGTCCTTGGCTCATTGAGCCAAGGCCACGCCAGGGCCTGAGGGGCTGCATGGCAGACCCTGACCAGAGACCAAGAGAGGTGCTAAGGGTGTGTGCTGGCGGCCAGCCCCGGGTCTGACCGGGACCCTCGCACGTGCGGTGCTGCAGGATCGTGGTGGCGGGCACCCTGCTCCAGCGAGCTGTCGTCCCGGAATCGGCCGCCCCCTTCAACTTCCAAGCTGCATTTGGCCTGAGCGACCAGCTGGTATGTGTCTTCCTGTCTGCAGCTCTAATGGGGCCAGGACAGATCCGCGGGCTCAGGCGACGCAGAATACAGCATGGCAGGCAGGCTTGTCCTGTTTTCCCACAGGCCCAGGCCATCAGTGACCATTACCCTGTGGAGGTGACGCTAAAGAAAGCCTGATGTGAATGGGGCCCTCTCCCTGTGGCACCTGCAGTTCGTGGAAGGACGGAAATGGGCCTTTTGTCACTATTTCTAGTTCCACTGTGAGCACGGGGTTAATGAAACAGAGACACCTACCCACCTTCTCTACCCAAAGAAAGTTTAATACTTAGATTAAGCAAATAAAGCTCAAAGGGGCTGTTCTCATCGGTGGCATCTAGTCCTTCATCCCCAGCTGCCTCTTCCCATCTGTTGGCCTCTGCTTGAGCTCTTTCCCTGCCCCTCAGTGGCGTTCCAGAGCCTTGACAAGTAGGTGGTTCAGGCGGCCCACCATGGATCGGGGGTCATCGACAAGGCCTGCAGCGATCATGGCGTTCTCGTAGATCTGAAAGGCAGGCAGGATAGCCGCGTTAGTGGGAGGGCAAGGCCCCGCAGAGAGAAGGAAGGGAGAGCACTGTCTGCTCAAGGGAAGATGGAGGCTCCAGAATTCAGTCTCCGAAAGACTCACCTGATCAACCAGCAGCTGGGCCAGGTCAGGCTCGCTCTCTCTCAGCTGACTCAGCTTCTTGATCAGCGTGTGTCTGCAGCACAGAAAACACCCTAAGTCAGGGCCGGGCTCTGCATAACCAGCACAAAGGCCTCCGTGTTCTGAGGACTTTTTTGGAACAGTCAGAAAACACGTAGTAGGATGGTCCAGTATAAGAAAAAAGGCATGTAATGATCAATTTCAGTTGACAGACCCAGAAAACCAAGAGAATATAAACATTAGTAAGAGGAATTTAATATATGAAAAGGATTTGTATTAGTTGGCAAAAACCCTACTTTAAAAAAAAAAATCTATTAATATAAATGTATTTGGATTAAGACGACGACATGGCCCAGAGGTGAAAGTACTTATAAGGCTCCAGCAATTGGACCGCTGGCTCTAGAAAACGAAAGGGCAACAGCTCTGCAAGAGTGGACAGCGTCTGTAACAGGTTGATGCTCACGTGAGAACGTAAGGGAAGCTGGTACTTAGGACATAGACCGTGTAAGAGCTCAAAAGGTAGGGTAACTGGCCAGTCACCCAGAACACAGCTGGATTCCTTATACCAAAATAAATACATTTTGAGGAAAACAGGGAAGAGATGTTTTATAATTTCAGGAGAGAAAAATTTCTGAAGGAAAATGCAAACACACAAGTCAAAGAAATAGTGATCACTATAAAAATTGCAATTTTTTCTGCATAGGAAGTAAAATTACATATACTACCTGATCTTATTCCCAAGAAACCTCCATCAAAATTGTAATTTTTCAAATGGCCAAAATTGAGAACTTTGGTATGGGGCGCCTGGGTGGATCAGATCACGATCCAGGGTTGTGGGATTGAGCCCCACATTGAATTCCACACTCCGCTCAGAGATTCTCTCTGCCCCTCTCCCCAGTGGACACTCTCAAAGGAAGAAAAAAAAAAAGGCAAAGGACAGTCTTAGAGGACATGTCACAAGAAAACCAAGCCAAAGAAAGGACAGTCAACGTAGGGCCTTGGGGATTTGTGTGCTGTGCGAGCAGTGGGCATGTCCTCGTCCAGCTGTGGGCATCTAGGCCATGAACCTCAGGGAAAAGCACGAGCAGGGGCCAGCTAGGGACAAAAGTGTTCAGAGCAGCCTGTTCCCACCAGCCCCCAAAGCCCATCAAAACAGCATAAATACAGAGTGTTGAGTATCAGGCAGCTGTAAACTAGCCACCCTCCCCACGTGGACTGTCTCATGCCCAGTCAAGGAAGCAGGACTGCAAAAATGCACACAGTGACTGCACACACATAAAAGTTCCAAACCGGCACCACAGAGCTTTTTCAAGGATGCATGAATAGATGGTACAACCACGGCGAGATGAGATGACCATCCCTGCCTTGAGGGCTCTGGTGACCTCTGAGGACACGGACAGACTCTAGTGGGAAACGGGGGCATCTGAACATACACATTCACCACCTGGCAGGTCAGAAACGCGCGTGCGCGTGCCGGCGGCCCTACCTGGGGTTGATCTCCAGTGTGGGCTGCAGGAGCTGAGCGCGCTCCTCCTGGGTCTTGGCCAGCTGCTGCATGCGCAGGAAGTGGCGGGCGGCCCCCATCTCCAGCACAGTGATCATGGCCGGGTGCGTGTCCAGTCGGAGAGTCATCTACAAGCAAGGCCAGGGACCAGGGGGGAGGGAGGAGCTGGAGGCAGGGGCCCCTGGGCTGCAGGGTCTGGACCATCCGTGAAGCTGCCCCAGGTGACACCGAGAATGCCGGTCTCCGGGGAGGCCCCTCCCTTGCATTATCAAGAAAAGAGCCTGAACTGCTGCCACACCAAGTTCCTGGAACAGATCCGGACTGGGGATTCCCTCCTCCTGTATTTGCTGCCAAAGCTACTCTAATATGTCAGTTCCTGTCCCAGATCCATCTCACCTGGGTTATGTCATCTCGGCTACCCAGGGTCCACTGCCGAGTCCCATAACTGTCTAGGACCCTACAAGCCGGCTGCTGCCCTGCCCAAGGCCCCAGCCTCTCCAGTCTGCCCTCCTATCCTGCTGGTCCCAATGGCCTGAGTTCCCACGGGCCTGGATTTTACCCAGTTCACCGGCCACCAAGTGTTCACGATCCTGCTCCCGTGGGCCTCTCCCTTGTCCACCCACAGGCTCTGGGCTTCCAGACTCAGGCCAGACTTGTCCCACCCTGCTGGGCCCACCGCGCAGGAATGGAGAACCTGAGCTGGGAATCAAGTCCAGCTCCTCGACTCCTGGCGGTGTGACGTGGGGAAGTGGTCCACCTCGCTTCCTTCGTGGGTCAGATGCAGTCATTCTACTTAGCTCACAGGTCACCCTGGACGAGTGCACGGTGTAAACCACGTGTCACAAAGAGCAATCCCAGCTGACGCCTCTCCTGGAGCTGCCTCCTCTGCTCTTGGCCGCTCCCACCCTGCACACCTTTGAGGCCACACCTGGATGTGTGCCAGTGCCCTTGCAGTGGACACCTGCCCTCTGGCTACTATGGCTTTCTCTTAGAGGTCTGAGCTGGACTGATCGGTTGCCAGCTGTTCTGTATAGAACTTGAGACACTTGTACGTTTCTGCCCAGAGCAGCACGTACACAATCATGGGGCCTTAGCGGGCTACTACTCCCTATGTGGCCTCAGGATCAGAAGTGGCCCTTCTGTTCCTGATGCCAGGAGGGATTAACTTGCCTCACCTTCTTGAGCCAGACCTGGCTGGCCCCCTGGAATAGATCAGGGAGGGAAGAGAAATGTGCCAGATCCCCAGGCTCCCAAGACCGTGAGACACGATAAGAGAAGCAGGAAAAACCCAGCTGGCTGGGGACTGGGCTTAGGCAGACTTCATGACTCCCCAGAGATCACACACGGGGGGGGTCATGTATCGCCCCGGTGGGAACAGTTAGCTAGAAGCCTCAGCTGAGGGGAGGAAGCTGTGCCCAGTACGGTCAGTCAGGACCCCAACCAGGCTGTTCACCGCGGGGCTCCCCCAGCCAGAAGATTGGATGTTGTGAGCACCCGATTTGATGTATGAACCCTTCTCTGTTCTCTACACTCTCCCCCTTTTTATGTTACTCTAATTGTTTAATTCTGTATATTCCCTTTCCCTTATACTTAAAGCTTTTCTCCACATAACACAATGTGTGGCTCTTGTGAGTTACTATTATTCAGAACACTGGCTCGCAGAGACCCAGACCTCTACGAACCTGAGCTGGATAGTAAGCTGCCCAGGTCCTTGGCCACCACAGTCCCTTGGGGGCAGCTAGCTGGGGATCCCCTCTTTTCTCTGCTTCCACCTGCTCTAGAGTGGCACACGTACACCCCTGGGCACAAGCATGTGTGCACCCAGGGACGGCAGCAATGCACCCGTCTCCACCTCAGATCGTGGCCTCAGTGGCTGCCAGAAGGGCATCCACAGGGCCAGCGACTCGGCCGGCAGCTGTGAAGTCCCAGAGGGCCGTGGTGGCCTGTCTCCGGAAGGCCTCACCTTCACATTGGTGACACGTGACCCCAGCGCATTTCTCATCCAGGCCATCAGGTCCTCCGTCTCCTTCTCAGACAGGCGGTCACCAGCTACAGGAGGGCAGAAGGGAGTGAGCTCAGAACTGCCATCTGTGTGCCTCCCACACCACGGGATCCCATGGGAGGCCTGAAATGCGGATGCCTCAACGCTGAGTTTCAAGAAGGCTCCTCCACCCCTGCCAGCCACCAGCACAAAGACGGAGGCTTCCCACAGGCCCTTCATCTGAAAGTAAGCAGGTAAAGTTGGACCCCACTTTGGGGGCACTTGGCTGCCCGATTAAGTGGAGCACGCGACTCTTGATCTCAGGGTCAGGAATTCAAGCCCTATGCTGGGTGTGGAGACTATTTAATAATAATTTTTTTAAAAAAGGGCATCTTTGTTTGCCTGAGGCCCATATACTTTTGTGAGAGCTTTAAAAAGAATCTCTAGGGTCGGTTGAGCTTCCGACCAGCTCAAGTCATGATCTCACAGTTCATAGGTTCGAGCCCCGCGTCAGGCTCTGTGCTGAGAGCCAGCTCAGAACCTGGAGCCTGTTTCGGATTCTGTGTCTCCCTCTCTCTCTGACCCTCCCCTGCTCATGCGGTCTCTCTCCTCTCATAAATAAATAAAACAAAACAAAAAAAGACAATCTCTAGGGGCATCTGTGTGGCTCAGTTAGTTGGTTAAGCATCGGATTCTTGATTTTGGCTCAGGTCATGATCCCACAATTTGTGCTAACAGCACAGAGCCTGCTTGGGATTCTCTCTCCCCCTTTTTCTGTCCCTGCCCTGCTCATTCTCAAAATAAGTAAACATTAAAAGAAAAAGTCCATTTCTGATTCTGTAGGAAGCCAAGGTGGAGGGAGCACTGGAGAGAGCCCTGGATCTTAACAAACATTTTCCATTCATCATGAAGACGGTCCCCAGCAGCTTCCTCTATGCAAGTTGGGGACCCCAGATATAAATGAAGAGAAAAAAAATTCCATATAAACCCACCACTGTAGGACCCAAGAGGCCCTCTCAGCCTCCCTTGCACCCCCAGGCCACTGCCCACACCTGGGCCCAGAGAAAAGGGGAGGCAGCCAACCTGGGGATGTGTCCTCCAACTTCTCCTCCTTATAGTGATCAACAACGATGTCTGTCTCCACGGAGATCAGCTTCTTCTTGTCAAACTCACGAAGGTGGAGCAAGGTCAGTTCA